TTTTTTTTTCTTCTCTCCAGTTTATAAAACATGTGCATTTTACAATTGCAGTATCAAATATTTATAATCGGATGAAATATGAATGTTTCTATTTACAACTGTGTTCTCAACATTGTGAACATTCTCGCTGCATTTTGTGTGTTTCGATTCTCGAGGACTGCATTAAATAATAATAATTAAAAAAAAAAACAACAAAAGAACCCACTTTATTACGAAATCCAACCCGTGTCACTCAGACGTTATAATGGAGCTATTCGGGAATATATATCCCTAAATGTTCATACAGCCTTCAGACTGCACTTCTGAGCGTTGGAGCTGGTATTAGAAGTATGTTGTAGTTTTAATTCTTTACAGGGGTGTGTGGGGTGGGGGGTAAAATCTGTGGCGATTTATGAGAGAGGTGGTTTTGCAGCCAGGCGTTTCATCAGCCTTTTGACTTAATGAGGAAACTTTGGGGGATTCATTCCTAGGCTGAAGGAGAGGACGAACGCCAGCCGGCACCGAGCCCCTCTCGGGCACTCCTCCTCCCGCTCAAAAGGAGCTGAAAACGGAAAGGAAAATCTCTTTAATCTCGCGTACTGTCAACAGGTTTCACCTTTTCAAGACTTTAAATACCCGGTGGTGTGATGCTCTGACAGGCTGCGTTTGGAAAACCTCTGCTAGGAAAACACGTAACCCCGGAGCTCGGGAAGAGGGGATGGAATATTGCCGATGCCACGCCACGAAACCAGGCACCCTGTAAAATACTTGGCAGCCCCGGGAAATGACAGTACCACGATTTTAGGACAGGCTGGACAAAAATAAAACGATCACCCGCCTTGCTGCGACAAAGGGCACAAGAGCTCCGAAATAGCTTTCCGCAGGCAGGAGAGGGAGGAAGGGCAGAGCCTCACTCACCCTCAGGGTCGCTCCTGCTGCAGGGGACTCGCTCCCAGACAAAACCAAGGCGAATGGGGGGGGCGAGGGGGAAGTGTATTTAAAATTTTATTTTGTACTTTATTTTTCTCAAGCTGCTACTTTGGGATATATTTCTGCAAGGGGAAAAATTCTCCAGGAGCGGAGCTGCCGCTGGGACAGTGCACCAAGGGCTTCACCTGCCCGGAGGACCTGGGGCAGGGCTGAGTGCGGGATGTTACCAGGATACTGTGGGCTTCTTGCTTTATTTCCCCAGCCTCTTTGGTTTGCGTGCTTTTGAGATATATATATATATATTTCTTTTTTGTTACCTCCATTAATGGAGGCAGGTGATTTATAATCCCTCGGGAGAAAATCGATGGCAGTGGCCGCTCAAGAAGAGTTTTAAATCTGGTTTGAAAAATAGCTTCCGTTGTCTGACCGTACAAAATGGCACCGTGGGTGTTACACGAGGGCAGCTAAGTCCCACGGAGATATTATTTGTAATTTTTTTTAGGAAGTCACTAGACCTGCAGTGGGGGAAAAATTGGCCCTGCTCCTAAGAGTGCAGGCAGAAGTGGAGTTTCCACCTGTCCTCACCCAGCCTGGTAAGAAAAGCTGGGAACAGAAAACAGATGTGTGACACCAGCAGGAATATGTAGTTTTGGGTTAAAAAAAAATTTAGTAGTGCCACTTCTCCAGGCTTGTCCAGTCTGTGGAGCAAGTACACACACTATCTCGCTGCTGCTTGGATTTTATCCAGCCCAGAACACAGAATATTTGCCATTGGTAAGCAGTGCCTTCAGTGGGAGCAGCGAGTTCCTCACACGGGCCGTACTTGTCACCTGCCTCCGATATTTTGGGGAGTGCTTGCACGTGGAGAGGCGCAGGTTCGGAGGGATTCTCTCCGCTGCTGCCTTCGCCATCCTTGGAGCGGCTGCTGCTTCCCGTGCTCCGTCCGGACCGCGCTCCCACGCCCGGGCAGCGGCTCCCCGCTGGCTCGGCAAGGACCGCACAGCTGAATTAGCCCTCGAGAA